TGTGTATGGCGGGCGAGGCCCAGAGTCAGGCGGGGCCTAAGGGAAACAAAGTTGTATACCGGGAGGGGCTCGATGCCAGGTGGGACCTGATACCAGGCGGGGCCTGATGACGGACAGGGTCCGATGGCGGGCAAGGCCCAATGCAGCGGGTGGGGGCCCAATTTGTGATTATGTGCTCACAGTTGTATATGGCATGTTTGGATCAGTAGATATGTATGGTATGTGGTAGGTTGGGGAACTCACTAAGCTTCGTGGTTACGGTTTTTAGTTTTGGTTTCAGGTATTTCCGATAACGGAATGAAGAGCTCGAGATGATTGCATGACACACACCACGAAGTTTAGCCTGGGATGCTTACTTTGATAAAATGAATAAGTGTTTTGGATAAGATACTCTGATTTGTTATATATTCCCTTTTTGTATGTTTGAATGACTTAATACTGTGGAATAGTAATGTTTTTAAAAGAAATTTTCTGTCTTAATTTTTGGGATGTTACAAAGCTGCTACTGTATTCCAAAAAAAAACTAATAGTAAATATATTTTATTCTTACTAGAGAACCAAATGGTAAATACTTTAAGAATATTTTATATTTTCTAAATTCTTTAAGAATTGTTTTTGTGTCAAGAATGTTAAATTATTTTTTAAGAATATCTACAGTATTATTCGTTTCGAATGCATAATCATATATAGGTTTTTTTGTTCAATTTTGTTGTTTTTTGACAATCAATGCATTATTCTTTGAGAATGCATCAAAATACAGAGGTTTTTTGCGATAAAAACATAGATGTCTAGCTATGTGCTGATTTCTTTTTCTTATGAAAATGTTGGTTTAATGGTTCAAATACGTTTTCATTCAATGTATTCGTTAAGAATTAACTTTGATTCATAAAGAATGAATTATGATTCTTCATAAACGTCTTACGTAAATATATTCTTAATGATTCTCTTCAACAAGCATGAAAGTTTAACTATTTTTTAACTAAAAAAATTGTTTCTTAATCATTGAAAAAAAATGTTTACTTAAATAAAAAATTAAATATAATCATTCTCAAAAATCGATATCTAATATTCATTAAGAATGTCTCTAATAACCGGTGATTAAATTCTGAAGAACTGATATGTTTAAATTTTATGATTTCTTATAACCTGTTTAATTTAAAAAGTGATGATTAGGATATTTAATTGTTTGATTTATTTATTAATTAACGTAACTTATTTGGCTAAAATATAAATAATTTTATTTTCTCTCTCTTAATAAAAAGTCATATCTACATTTATAATTAATTACATGTACTTATATTATAAATGCTAGTCTATGTTAATAGGATATACCTTAAGATCACATTCTTTCATTCTTTTAATCTAATGGTCAGAATTTAATTATACACTCACACAATGATTATGATTCGCATTTAATCCTAACTATATATATATATATATATATATATATATATATATATATATATATATATATATATATATATATATATATAAAAGCCAATCTTGAACAATTTTTGGGCAAATTCCCTACTGAAGACTCCTGATAATTTTATATATATATAGTTACTGATCATAAGAATGAATATATACTTAAAAAGTTCTTATTGTGTAAAATAATTATTATTTTATAAAATATGATCGTGTTTTAATAGATGAAAAATAAATTTTCTTTGTAGCAGGAGTAAGTCATCAAGTAATTACACAAAATTAAGATCATTTTCTCAAAGGCCTTGCAAAATACATGACTATATTAATACTATGTTTTCGAGTACAATTTAACGTGGGAAAAGAAAAAAAATGCATGGAAGTGGAAAGAAAATCAAAAAAATTGGTGTTTCTGAGTTTTATTAAAAAATGAAATGAAAGGAAGTGGCAAGAAATAAAATGACAATTTTCCTTCATAACTTTCCTTTCGATTTGGAAAGATTTTGAGAGAAAGAACAAAATTTCCTCTTACTTTTCTCCAAATCAGAAAAACAAAATACAAATTTTGTTTCTTTTTTTTTTTTTTTTCTTTTTTCTCTCCTTACTTTCTTTTTCTTTTTCCTTCTTTTACTTTTCTTTGCTAAAACTCAAAAACTAGTTATAACTGGTAAAATTGTATGTCATAACCTCCCTCTAATTTTGGTAATTTTAGTGAACAATAGTTATATTTATTTTAGAAATGTACTCTAAAAATCAAAAGTATTCTTACTCAAAAACACCCATTTCATAAATCAAAGACTAGAGGCTTATTCACCCAAAGAAAACTACAAGCTTCTTATGTGGGAGGAGGTTTAGTTCTACCCTTAGGGTGCCTTTGGTACAGAAAATTGGATGAGAGAAATAAAATCAATTCAATTTTTCTTGTTTGGTTTGTATTAAAAATAGAGAGAAATGGAAAAGAATGAATTACATTTCCATCATATTGATTCTCTTTAATTAACAGAGAAAAGGTGGGAAAAAGAAAAAATCAACAATTTAAATATTTAATCCCATGATTTATTTATGTTTTGTTTATAAATGTATGTTGTTTTCATTTTTGGAATGGGCCCAATCTTCTTTTGACGTGGGTATGCCTACAAATCTTTTCCAATCTAAATATTAAGTTATTAACCTATTAATTCTCAATTAAAGTTTATTTTATTATGTACGCAATTGATTCATGAAATCAATTTATTCTTTGCTTCTTACTTTTTTCTTTTTTCAAACATTCACGTAGAGATTAAAAAAAATTAATTATTATACTTTTTTTGTTGATTGTTCGAGCAATAACTGGTTCATGATTAAGGATGCATATTTTAACATAAAGATGCATATTTTAATAAATTAAAATGTACATTATAATGCATTTTTATAAAAAAAAAATGAATAAAATAACAAAAAAAACTCATTTCCATTTCATTGTTGTATTATTCATTGTTTAATACAACGAAACAAGAGAGATGATTCTTATGATCATTTCTCTAGTGAAATATTGATTCTACCAAATAGTGTAATCAATTCTCTTTCCCCATTTTAATTCCTTTTCTTTACATTTCCATTTTCTACTGTAATTCCATTTCTCTGTACCAAACGCACATTTAATTTAAAGTTTTAGCTTGCCAAAAAGGAATAGTTATGGCCCCGCTCTATCTATGAGTCCTTATGCAGCGTATTCTACTCTCTATTCATTTTTCACTCGTTCTGTAATTCCATTCAATCTTTTAGACAATTTATAATTATCTTTCACTCATTTACAAATGCATGTAACACACTATACTCAATAGTTTTATTATTTTAAACAAAAAACTTAATACAAAACTACTTCAATAAGTTTTTTTTTAGAGATTCTAGCTTTTATCTTTTATGTAATGTTTTAAAAACTAGTTTGAAACGGTTGATTCCAGTTAGACCAAAAATTGAGGGCAAGATTGGTTCAATTACAACTGGTTTTATGTCAATTTTTAAATCGTATCAAACCGGGCGGTTTCTTTAAAAACCAGGTTGAACCGGTATGTTAGAACCGGTGAACAAACGTTTGAACCAATTGATTGGACTTATATAGTTTGATTTCGCTTAGTTTGTTAAAAAAAACAACTTATTTCCAAAGCAAATTGATTATTTTCGAAGTGTACACAATTCAAAGGCTGACGTGCACAAATACTCGATGTAAAATAATAAAAAAAAATCCTTGGTTTAATTGGTGGTCGAATCAATTGAACCAGCGGTCAAACCAAAAACCGATCACCAAACTAATTCAACTAAAATACCAGCTTTTAAAACATTGTTTTTTTATGATTCAATTTTGATTTTATTTACACATTTCAAAACATTACAACTATTTTTATCAAACACTTTCATATACATATTCCGGCCTAAGCTATTTTTTTTTTACCAAACATACCCTATGTCTATGCACTAGTTATTTTTACCAAACATACACAATCTATAAACTTATTATATATTTTGACATAATCAGTCGAGTTCTCCACATATTAAATTAAAAAAATGACTAAATATTTGAATAAGAACACTAATCATAGAGAAATATTTTGCAATAGAAAAAATAGAGAAGGGAAACATTGTATTGGAGATTGAGAGTAAACATGAGAATCCAAAGCTTGAATTATTTTATCATTGGGATTAGTACGGGATTATAGATGGCATATCTTATATCTGTCTAGTGTCCCCACCTCATCCTTTATATTACAATTTTAACAAATCCTTTTACCAAGTATAATTCTAATATAACTTCTCATTATGATATATTAGACAACTCATTTCAAAATTCAAATTTATATTTTCTAATTATATATTAAATTTGAAGTTATAATAACTTTAAAATTTTGATACATCTCTTAATTAATAATTTATTTAAAATGATTTCTTTTTAATAACTGATTAATAATTATAAATTTTTATTATAAAAATTTAATTAATTTTTATAACCGTGGCATATAAACTAGTCTAATAATATACTGATGGCTGCCCCAGTCATCTTTTTACCAGCTTTTGTTCAAGCCTGTCCCGTGTTCCTCGATAGAGTAATATCTTTCCATCCTTAAAATACCAAAAGTTCAGCAAAAGCAATCTGTGTTTACTGTGTCTACACACCATTGTTTAAAATGTTTTAAGTTACAGCCCCCCAATTTAAAACAAAGATGTCTACCCATTAATCTTGAAAGAAAACATTTAAAGTTAGCGGATACATTCACGCAACAGACAATTAGTAAATGAACAATATCAAATAAATAATAAATTATTGCACAATGTTTCTAGACAATATCCCTAAATAAATCAATACAAACAACACAGAAACAGAGACGGAATAAATCAAGTATGGAGAGCAAAACAGGCCCCCTCCGCACAAGCCAAGAAGAAAAACTTGGTATTAAACCACTTCTCTCTAGTCTTGGTGTCTTAACACAGCAAAATACATCCTTAGTAGTTTCTTTTCTACTACAAGTTACAAGTACAAATTTCTTCCCAACATTTGATATGTGAAAAAAGGTGTGGTATGAAAAAAAAAAAAAAAAAAAAAAAAAAAAAGACAAACATTAATTGTGTATATGAATGATGATGATAACCAACCATATAAATATAGATAGATAGATATTATAGCGCTTTTAATTTGCTAATGGTTTTGCAATTGCTTGCTTGATTGCTTCTGCATATGTCTTGTGTTGATATGTTAGTGTTGATTCCAGCAAATCCCACAGTGATGTCTTTGGGTTCCAACCTGCCATTTTGAATTTACATATCAATTCCTTCATACTAAACATTACCCTAAGTAAATAACAGAGTTGAGAAGAGAAAGGTACCTAATTGTTTGTTTATAATGGTCATGTCTGGAATACGCTTGTCACTGTCATCATAACCTTCCCCATAAAATTCCTTTGAGCTCACATCAATGGTGGGAGTCTCTATTGAATCTTCTCCACTTACTTTCGAATACACCTTCACAAATATATTATATTTATTTAATCATCCATGGACACAGAGTAAACTCAAATTCAACCTTGTTAACTTACCTTAGTCATCATTTCAGCGAGTTGCCTAACTGTAACTTCATTGTTAGGGTTTCCCACATTGAAAATATGACCACTAGCCCTGGCTGGATTTTCCTGAAAAGTCAAGCAGAGAGAGAGGCAAAAATGTCAACACTAGACAAAAAACAAGATTAATTTTGAAGAGAAAAGATTAAAAACATACAATCATCAAAAGAACAGCTTCAATAGCATCCTTGATGTAAACAAAGGTTCTTTGTGATTCACCACCATCAACAAGCTTCAAAGGCTCACGTCTAAGAAGGTTCTGAGTAACAAAAGTAAATATCATTAGTACATAGTAAGAAAAAAAAGAAAGAAAGAAACTAAAATCCCTTAAATTCAAACTTACATTGCTAAAGCATGCAAGAACCCTAGGAACACCTTCACTGGGACCATCAATCCCGGGGATGAAATCCATCCTAGGGCCAATCCAGTTGAAAGGTCTGACTATTGTGAATTCTAAACCATTTTCAGCACCCTCAGCTGTTAATTAGGGGGAAAAAAGAAAGTAAGAATGGAAGAAGATAGTGTTGTTAGTGAATGAAAAGTGAAACATTATGTTGGTTAAGTTTGTTCACCATAAATTAGCCTCTCGATCAACTGTTTTGCACATGCATACGACCATCTCTGTTTCTCAACTGAGCCAAATATGCATGGGGAAACATCTTCCTTAAGAATATAGTAAGCAGGATCCTGTAGACATTATCATCCAGAAAAGTGACTTTCAAATCAGCTAGGATTTGCACAAGAATGAGGTAGCTATTAGCTAACCAGATGAAAAGTGAAAACACGTCCCATGATAAAACATACAATTGTATTAGATGAAAAAGAGATCAAAGATCTGGAAGTTACCTGTCGTAAGGGGCTATCTTTGGGAAGATAGCTACCAATTGTTTTCCCATACACTTCACAGGTAGAGAAGTGAATGAGCCTCTTGTTGTTCTCTGAGCAGTACTTGAGCTACATATGAAAGTGACATAATTCTCCATCATATTTTCAATCATCAAGAATAAGATTTGATTTGAATTATAACGTCAAAGCAATGCAAATGAGACGCAGTACATACCACAGGGAGCGCATCGATGAAATTGCTGTAAATCGTGTCAAGAGGACGCGTGTTGTAATCCGCTGGAGTGCAAATCGCGGCCAGATTTATCGTCTACATACAAAAATTAGAAAATTCAGGACAGGAAAGTAATACTCGACACCGATCTGCATTCTTGGATACAAGATCACGCAATTTACTAAGCTTTTAAACATCATTAGGACTTGCTTAAACTATTCTACACTATCTTGCACTTCAAACATTAAAAAAATGACAAAATAATATAGAATTCTTACGATCTTACACACTGTAGCTCATTTTCACTTCTATTAAGGCAGGTGAACATGAGGATTCGAGAAGATTTAAATTATAAGATACATACTATAAAACAAACATATCTGCAGAAAGCGATTGAAGATTTACCAGATCGGAACACTTGATGAGCCCTTCGAGGCGAGAATCATTCTTGATATTAAGTCGGTGGAACTGAATGCGCCCGGCCCAAGGAAGAGAGTCGGGTTCGAGTAGGTGCTTGATCTTGTCATTGTAAACATCGACAGCTAACACCGTGTGTGGCGTCTCTTGCATCAACTTCTCGCACAAGTGCGAACCTATGAATCCTCCAGCACCAATCATACATATCGTCATCGGATTTATCGTATTTCCATCCAGATCTAACCTCGCCGTCGTAGAAGCCATCTCTCTCTTCTGCGTCTAGATTTTCTCTATTTGTTTAGGGATCGGATTTCGATCCGGTGTCGACGGGAGGATATTGGGGGAACGAGGGAAGGTATTTAAAGCAGATAGAAAAAGGAGGGAGGAGGTTCACACTTCACAGGGTTCATGGACTTACTCAGTCACTTGCAATTAAGTGATTAAACTGTGTGAAGTTGATGTTTGTGATTTCCTACTCTCACGAGTATGATAATCTGTATGGTCTTGTGATCCAACGACGGGGTGTATGCGGTTTGTGGTGATGTAGCGTAGGGATGAGGCCACTAGATTGTAGCGCTTGCCCACTGTCGGTTATTTTGTTTTGTTTTTATAATTTTAATCGGACAAAATTACACAAATGGTTCGTGTGTTAGCAAAAATACTGCGAATAGTCCTTGCGGAAATTGTGAAATTTTTTACATGATCTTTGTGGTTCCAATTTGTAGGGTTATTGATCTTTTGGAAGAGTACTTGTGGATTTATTAAAAGTGTATCTTTTAAGATTTATCTTTATTATATAGTTAGACTTTTACCTCATTTTCATCCACCATTTTATTACCAATGATTGTCTCCCTTTCCCTCTACTCTCATCTCTTCATTGTCTCCCCATTCACCCATGACCTTAAACCATCTCTTACTTGTCTTTCTGGTAAAACCACGCTGACCACCACCATTTTGAACTACCATCACATGTGCCCTTCATAGCACATCCACTAATACCCATCATAGCACCATCCCTTGCCTCCCATCACTAACATATACCAATAAGAGAAATAAAACTTTAATCCCCACAATCTAAATATTTTGATACTATCTCTTGGATTTATATTTTTCAGTTTTGTTGGATTTGAAAAGTCTGATTTGCTATGAATTTCACCCCATGGTATGTTACTTGATAGAATCATTTACATACTTTACCTATTGGTACTATATTTAATACACGAAGTAAAATCCATACATGATTATTTAGTTCTAGAAACTATTGCATCACATGAGATCAAGACAATGAAGATAACATATTTGTTTTGAACAAGGATGCATTGGAAATTATAATGAGTTCAAATCATTTACATTCTCATTTACAAGTATCAATGATTATGTCCATGTACAAAATTCCGAGTCAAACTGGAATTTCTATTTAATGGGTTATTGTTATTGATCCCATTTTAGAGTATAATAGTGAAGAAAGGACCCATACAAGTCAACACATGAGTATTATGAAGATGATTTTATCTCAAACTTATAAATCAACTACTAAAATATCAATGAGTAATATGGAGATAAGTGATATGCACTTAGTCAATCCAACTGGTACTCAAAGATCATCATCAACCAAGTAAAGCATTTTGGCTAACTCGACTTAATTCATGATACATGCTACTAGCCAAGCAAGTGAAGTTCAAGTTGTTACAAATTCAACTGACTCTTGAACTTGTGTAACTTCCACAAAATTCATGAAAAAATTAAACTTTTTAAAACCAATCCACAAATCATCATTGTTTACAATTTAGTTTTCAAAACATGTTTAGTATCAGAGTTTTCCCAAAATCATAAATTAAAACACGAGGAGGTGCACGATCATGCCTTCACATTCCTGCGATCATATGAGGTGCCTGAAACATAACCCAAAACTGTAAGCCCAAAGCTTAGTGAGTTCCCCCAAAGTACCAACATACAAATAAATAACACATACATAATAACATCATATTATGTGTCTAATCAACCATTGGGTTCAAATACCAGAGGCCCCTCAACCATCGGGTTAGAATGCCAACACACTATGGGTCCGATCAACCATCGTGTTGGAATACCCCAAGCCCTCAACCATTGGGTTGGAATGCCAACATACTATAGGTCCAATCATCCTCAGGATGGAATACCCTCGGGCCTATTCAACCATCGGGTTGGTGTTCCCCGACTTATTGGCTTATGCATAAAGCAGTGAAGCCTCTGCTATCGATCAAACATGTGTACATATAGCAACTAATCATATAACAATCTACAACTAGTCAAACGGATCTACAGATCACTAAGCATAACATTATCCTATATACCAGGATACTGATCTAACATATCATTACAGTATAATAGCATGCATAACAGGATGTTAATCCAATAGACCGGTATTGGTGCCTTCAGCCCGCAACTATAGTGGAAAACTCACCTCGCAAACTGAACATAACTGATGAGGCCTGACTCTGAATCTCATCTCTCTAAACGATACTTATTTCCACCAAAATGACCAATTCCATATCCCAAAATACCCAAAATACCCTCAAGGTCAAATTTGGTCAAACTTGGTCAAAGTCAAAGCCAAAGTCCATTGGTCAAACCCACTAAGTCAACTGAGTCAACCCAACCGTGTCAACTCAACAAGGATGACCCATGCGAGTACGCGAGGCGTACTCCGGAGGTAAGCCTAGTGTATGCGAAGCCTCGCATTGACCACCATCAGGGTGGTTGACCGAGTACACGGGGCGTACCCTCGCAGCTTCCAAACTCCATTTAGTGCTTAATAGCTTATGTACTTAAGCCTATATTTCAGATCCATGACCATAGCATACCCTATAGTCATAAAGTTTCCAACATTATGTCTTTACATGCCTAATAAGAGCTTAACACAAGGTCTTAATCCATTAAGACCTCCTACAAGATGCATGGAGAAAAACCAACCAAATGGACTTCATTTTTATGGCTAAGGACCCCTCCTAGGGTCTGAAAGGACAACTCAAAACGTCTAGAACATGCCATGCTCAGGATGAGACTTTTTGGGACCAAAAAGATGACATAAAACCCCCATTAATTTCTCTACAAGATTAAGAGACAAAGGTGCAAGCTTTATACCTTAAAAGGCTTGCAAATGAAAGATGAATCCCAAATCTAAGGTGCCTTTTCCTCTAAGTTGAGCTTGATCTTCTTCCTTCCTCTTCTAATCACACAAACACACTCTTTAATGCTTGAAATGGCCTCACAAGATGCTTCTAGGGTTTCAAATCACGAAGAGAGGGTGGAGGTTGATTAGGTGAAGAGAAATGAGGCCATAAAGATGCTTAAATACCACCCAAACCCTAAAAATTAGGGTTTCCAACTTTATTAGTACTCCCTGCATACAGAAGTGTACCCCCAACGTACACATATGTACGCTTGGCGTACTTCTCCTACCCAAAATTACGAGAATGCCACTAGGGCTTCAAGGCACATTCTCTTAGACTTAGGGACCAATATGTCATATAATAAACTTAAAGGTATAAATTTAAAAGTACCTTAACACTGGGATGTTACAACTTGCAAGTATTTGAACAATTATAAGTCAACCTTTCTAAATCATTTGGCATGAATGTTACTGCGATTTTACGAATTTAAAAGTTATAAATGGTTGTTTATAAAGGGAAATTGTAACACCCATTGTGTGGGGTCACTTGAAAAGAGATTAATTTTCTCAAAATATTGTTTAAAGACTTCAAGTTTCATCAAAATATGAAATTTGTTCCTAAGTACAAGTTCAACAATTTGAAAATGTTCAAAGTAGTGACAATCTATTCAAAACAAAAGTTGAAGTAGCCATTACATAATAATGGTATTCTAAATTTCCAAACTATCTTTAATTTTCAAACCATGGATTAATCTAAGTATTTATCAAAATACATATGTTAGGTTTGGAAAACTTAGTGAAAACACCTAGGGTCAATCCTTTAAGAGTGTTAGATTTGGTATCTTCCAAAATCAAGGTGATCGTGTCTTAACCCATGTAACTCACGAGAAGTTTGCATCTTACATCTATTTTTTTTAATGCCATGTATCTCAGGTTCTATCTCCAAGGTGTAATGTTCGTGTAAATAATGCTCGAAGTGATTGGGATGATAGCTGGAATGGAGCATGATGTTGCCATAATTAGTTATATATTTTGGGAAATTATCTTAATATATCAATCTTAAATGTTTTATTTAAAGATAAATGATAACTATTATGCTTTAAATTGGATAAATATAGATAAATTCGTAGATGATTATCAAAAGGAAAGGATTAGGATTAGAATAGAGATGATATGGATGAAGATCAAAACTTTCCATAAAACAATAAATTGTGATGCGACATTATCGTATTCACGTCACATTGAAGTTGTAGAAGTTATATGATCAGGAAACATCACAAACCCGTGGCACGGTAATATCCCATTAGCGATACGAATCCCATGAATCGCATCTCCTATAAACAGATGTTCTCCTATTCTTAAATCATTATGTATTCAAGTGCCAACTTGGGAGAAAATTTTATTACAAAAATTCAAAAGTTCATAAGGTTTTTAAGGCTGAAGAGTAACACTGGAATCTCATTTTAAAGATCGAAGCTTGGAAACATCATTTAATCATTAGGTTTGTTTTAAACATCATGTTTAGCAATACTTTTTTTATTGTTTCATGTTTTCTAGCTATGATAATGGTCTAGTACCCTTTGTTTCCACTTAGATGTAGATGAACCCTAAATACTTTGGTTTGTTTTATTAGTTGGATTTATAAAGTTTGATCATTTATTATGTTTGATTGATCGCTTTACCTTATGTATTAAAATTTCAATTTTTAAGGCCAACAGTTAAGTTATATATAGTCTAGAGGACCAGTCTGATTATATTAACTTAAATCTTAATTAGTTTATAACGCTAAATTGCTAGGACTAGGGATGGTCTAAATCCTAGGGTTAGGTGATATAATTGTGAAGTTAAATGTTTAAGAGAGTATTAGATATCCATGCTATGCTTTGATTGATTTTCATGAACATTGAGATTAGCCACCAGACCTATTCATTCATAATTCGAATATTTAAATGATTATTAGTTAACTAATTGCATGAACATTGTGTTAGTTGCTTTATAATTACTGGTATTAGTTAATCAGATCAAGATAACTAGGCATTATAAATTGGTACTTAACTTGTTAAATCTATTGCACTTCTAATAAGTCAACCATAGAAAAATAAAGGGATTCGAAATCTAAATGGAAGTACTTTAAAACTATTGTTTAAATCATGTTATTTGCTTTTGTTTGCTCTTGCTAAGTTGTTAAATCGAGTTTAATTTAGTTTAAATAACACCCCATTTACCTTTCTGTTTATAGTTTAATTAATAATTTTATTATATGAATTAAATCATAATCGTTTCCCCTGTGTTCGATACATTTTCTTACCACAACTATACTATTTAACGATTAGATACACTGCCTATTTGTGTGACAGTTTGGTTGAGAAATTAGGATTTATAAATTTAAAACCTAATAGTTTAATAATATAAAAATCA